GTGGCATTTGAAAGATAAAAGCATAAGAGGAGCAGATAATAGATACAAGCCGGATCATATCTGGAAACAACATTAATGATATTGGTGAACCACTCGGTTTCGAGCAAAATTTTCCTCCGCGAACGGGAAGAAAGTTTTGCTTGAAGCCGAATGGTGTACCAATATCATCAGAGGAGCGTTAATATATTCGTATTAAGCATTCGTAATCGTTTAGTATCGTTTCAAGGTTGAATACTGATACACTGATTTGTTTAGACGATCTTCTCGCATGGCAACCGACCGATAACTGGTCAACGGATGTCGACAAGATCATTGACGATAAGTCGGATGTTACTGTCGAGCGAGTATCGCCAAGCAAAAAATCGCGATGCTCTCGAGGAGAACGCAAAGAAAACTTGTTGCATGTGCCGAAGCCGAGCCCTGCCCCTGCGACAATATCCAATTCTTTTAAGAAGGAGGTACGCATCATAAGTGTTTCATATGGAATACTGTTGTTCATTGTTAATATTGTTTCATTATGGTTAGCGTGAATTATTTATTTATTTAGTTATTTATTTAGGTATTTATTTAATCAGTAATCACAATTCATTAACAGTTAATGCTTTTCTGTTAACATCAATATCATTAATATTATATCACATTCTTCCTTCATTGCGTGAGTGATTTATTTATGAAGAAATTGTAAACAGTATTATCCATCCATGTTTAGTTTTGCATCGAATGCGATAAGTTTGCGAGAGGTTTAGAGAATTTTTAGAATTTTCAGTGTGAAATTTGAAATTTGAATGTTGTTGAATAAATGAAGTAGGAAAGTGTTGAATTTTGATGATACAGTGATGAATTTCAATTGAAAGTTGGCAGATTTAATGCAAATCGATAACGTTGCAGTTATGTGATGCATACGAAATGTGTGCAGCAGCAATTTGTTCTTTTGCGGAGTGTCGTAATGGGTTGGAATGTGAGCAAATTCTGCAATTTGTGGAGGAATTCGGTGATGTACAGCAGTTCGTAAGTGAATCGCTATTGTTCAAATGTAAATTTGACGAGGCGATTGGTCAGTTGAATGAGGTGAATGAAAGTTTTCGTTCGATCGTGTTTTACATTGAATGTTTATTGAATTTATACGGAATATATCAGAAATTTACTGGTGATACTTTGTGAATATTGTTGCATTTAACGAAAAAGAATTTAGCAATTTAAGGATTTCTGTATTTTCGATACGAAAGTTTTGCGTTTCTTTCAATGTTCTTTGGGGGTTTCTAATTTACAATTTGCAAAGGAAAAATTTTACAAATTTGCAGCGATTGGAACGACTCAACGATAATGGAGCAAATAGCTCTACTAATGCTAGTGAAGGTAATGCCCATGAAAGTAGTGCTAGCAACGATGGAGTTCAGAACTTGAAAGATGTCAAAACTCGGAGCAAGGAAAAACGAAAAGAGCGAGAGATCAAGAAGGAAATAGAGGAGCCGCCCTCAGAGACCTCCGTAGTGACCTCAAAAAGTCCGTCAGAAACCGAAGCAATCAAGAAAGAATCAGAGATTGTATATTTACAATTGGCATGCGCAAATGCGATAGCGAGGAATTGGTCAGATGCTTATGAGGCCGTATGCAGTGTCATCAGATCGATTTCGAAGGATAGCAAAAATGTGAGTTTTGAATTGAAATTTATTCAACTAAAATTAATTTCATGAAATCTATTAACTTCTAGTACTCTGTTTGATTTCCTTGAATATCCACATATAATTTCAATTGTTATGATTGAAGATTTAACAGAACTGATTTGAACGTTGTATCATTGTGTTTATATTTATGAATGAATGAAACCTGGCTGCAGGTAATCCGTCTTTTAGTTAATCGGTCACAAAGTATAGCAAAAATATTCACTTCCATTTGGTCTAAGCGAAACTAATGAAACAGTTGGAATTAATTCTTTGATAATTGCAGATAATATTCGAAAACCGAAAAGGTGTGAATTGTTCTTTTAGAAGAGAAGGGAAATTTTTTCGTTCGAGTTTGAGTAGTTCGTTGTTTGAAAGGAAGATTTTTTGGTTGAACACATCAGAGATCTTTGTCGTTGACATAAACTGGGTTCATGTGAATACAAATCTCTGCTAAGGATTAGTCTTTCAGAGAATTAAAAATGAATTGAAAGAAAATGAACGAAAGGACGATGTGAATGACAAAATGGATTTTAATCACTGTCAGCAGTCTTCTGAAACGTCTGCACTGACGAACCATGTGAGATATTGAGTTGATAGTTGATATCGGTTTTGGTTATTTATTGCTTTTGATATCATTATGAT